GTAATGATTTCTTACCATTTTGCTTGCAGGGGCTTTAGCTCCCCACTTTTAAGGCATGACTCATGATACGTTATTTGCATGTGAGTTTTCCCACTGACATTTGTTTTTTATGCAGAACTGAGTCTTTTTCTTTTCTTTATGTATTTTTAGAGTCTAGGAGAGTCCTATAACAGAAATAAGATACAGACATGGGTTCCGAGATATTAGCGCGGGAAGCACGTCGAGGGGACCAGGAGCAGATACTCGTGCCCCGTATCTTAATTCTGCATTTTATATTGATATATAAAATTAGGATCGGGCATGTATATGCGGAGTCCGACCGCCTTTTTCTTTTCTGGGATATGTTGCCGATCCAACAAATCTTGATTTGACTTGTTTTATTTTTTCTTTTAAATCATGTTGCATGTCTTCACTTGCATGTGTTTTTCTTGTTCTCTTTTTGTGTTTTATCTGGAATCTCAGGATATAACATAGGCTCTTTAAGACTTAAATTCTTAATTTTCTGCAAAAATCCTAAATAAAATATTCAAGATAATTAAAATTTAGAATTAAAATCCTGAATAAAATATTCAAGATAATTGAATTCTTTCCACAAAAAAAAAAAAAAAATCAATCTAGAATAAGAACCATGAAAAAATGGGACAATAATTTGCCAAAAAAATTATTATTCAAATCACATAAAATGTACATATTTTTATATAATCACCTATGTTAAATAATTTCAAATACATAAGACTAGCATGCATGTCATTACTCTTTTTTTTATACTGTAAATCTTCTGTTAAAAATTTCTTATCCCGTTGAGCATTTAGCTCATTCGACACTTAGTCGACTATTATACAAGTATGAGAATGTACATATTGGACTATAGTTAGAGAATTTAATTAAACATAACCTTAAATTTTAAATGAACAATTCTGATTGTAATAAAGAAAAAGATGTTTATGATGAAAATTAAAGACATCTTTTGATATGCCAAAATTTATATGTAGTTTATAAATGACTGAAAAGGCTGAAGGAAGGTGATTGAATGGTGACCGGCAGCGATAGACAACATGGCAAAGGAGTGTACGGGGCTGAAGAAGCGAGATAGAAGGTTGACAGAATATGGAGGAGGGTGCAGGGATGGCTGGGATAGCGATGGTAGCAATAGAGAGTGATGGAATCACAGAAAGGCAATGAGAGGGCTATCCTCAAGATGACAGCAGGGAGAAGGGTTGGAGGCATGGGATAGAGGTTTGGGCTACGAAAGCAATGTTGGAGGCTGAGAGGAGGAGGTTGCATGGATGGTTGTGACAGCGATGACGATAGAGGGGGTTGGAATTTCAGAAAGGCGGCGAGTGGGTTATCCTCAGAATGAGAGCATCAAGGGGAAGGGTTGGTGGCAAGGGACAACAAATTGGGAGGCATTGGGAAGGTAGTAGACAAATATAGTAAAACAATAAGGTGGTTGTTTTATGTATTTAGTCAAGAAAAAATTGAATGAAAATAGTATATCAATGATATGGATTATAAAATATGATTTCATGTGCATGATTAACCGTGACGGAAATCATGCCCTTATATACTAGTTACGAAACACTAAAAAACATGTGCATAAAAATGAAAAAGGCAATTGCTTTTGATATATCATAAATGATATAATTTTAGAATGTGCTCATGTGATGATTGTATATGTAGTACAATATAATAAAAGTATTGAACTATCTTGATTGATCACATTCATAAATAAAAATTGACATTTTTCTGACAGATGAAACACTAAAAAACATGTGCATATAAATGAAAAAGGCAATTGATTTTGATATATCATAAATGATATAAGTTTAGAATATGCTCCTGTGATGGTTGTATATAAAATGATTAAATAGGGAAATGATGTAATACAATATAATAAAAGTATTGAACTATTTTGATTGATCACATTCATAAATAAAAATTGACATTTACTTTTATATTGATTTGTTAAAAATTGAACTTTTAACTGACATATATAATATTTTCTTATTCATTGTGCTACTATAATTTAGAAGTAGAAGTATTCACTGGTTTTAGTTAGAACATTTTATTTTACATTAACTTCAAAACTTTTAACTGACATACACAATATTTTCTTATTCAATGTGCTACTATACTTTAAAAATAAAAGTATTCACTAGTTTTAGTTAGAACATTTTATTTTACATTAACTTCAAATTTTAAGATTTTGTGTAAAAATAAATAATAGAAGAGAGAATGTATATAAAAGGCACAAATAACCAAAAATAAGATAAATTTAACTGCATTAAATATCTTCTTTTATGCAGTAACTTTCATTTATATTTGGATAATTAAATATTAAATAAAGAATAAAAAATAGAAAAAGTTTTCGATTAAAATCGTCTAACCGCTGTTCTAAACATCAAAATTTCAAGCCTCAGACTAGGTTGTGATAAAACATGTCTTTAGAAATCAAGGAATAAAAAGTAGAAAAAGTTTTCAATTGACATCGTCTAACCGTCTGTTCTAAACATCAAAATTTCAAGCCTCGGACTAGGTTGTGATAAAACATGTCTTTAGAAATCAATGTAAAAAATTTCATTCTATATTTGAGCTTTAACACAGTGGGTAAAATCATGCGGCCTAAGTTGATTTTCAATTGAAAAAACTTGATGGTAGCAAATGACGGTAGATGATTTTCTAAAGAATTAAAATCATGCAACCTATTGTACCCCTCGTCGATAATTTTGTGCACGAATGGTCTTTGGCCACATAATTTGTTTATCTAAGATGAAGGCAAAAAATTACAAAAAATCAAAAGAACAGTAATTGTCAAATATTGCTTTTTTAATCAAAACAAACTAAGTTTTTCTCCTACATGTTGCTTAAACTATAACAGAATAAATTTGAAGAACAAGAAAATAAAAAATGCAATAAACTATATAAACCTCAGCCTATACCTTGTTCCATTCCGCCTATCATATGGTTCTATAAAGGAGCATGGCTTGAAAATTTTCCAAAATAAAGAAACATTTGATTAAAAAATAAGTTGGAGATTTATGATTTCTTATGTGCACAAAATTTCAATGGACAACTTAGTGTATTCTTAATTGCGCACCTTATAAGCCTTGAAAATGCAAGCCTTATCTCTAAGATAAGAAAGATATTGATAGTTAACAATTGAACTAATAGAAGCTTGATGAAAAAAAAAGCAGCCCAATGGCTTAATGAAAGTGATCCTTGTGAGCAAAGAAGTGGATGAATAGAGCCCTCTACAGTAAGATCGACGCAATGAGTCGAGACATTTGTGCTAGAGAAAATAAATTTTTTGTTATGCATAATTTAGAAAATCCAAAAGTTGGCAATCCTAGGGAGAGATATTGGTAATTGGTTTCTGCCAAAGATTCTGTAAGTTATACAGATCTCTTGTTGGACATGTTAAGTTTTTTCTCTATGACTTTATATCTTTAGATGTAAAGTCTCTTTATAATAAGAAAACACCTTTTACACAAATTATCTCTGTTTCAGATGACAAATTTATCAATTTATTATTAATATTTTAATATTCAACATTAAACTAAAAAAGAACAATCATGCTACACATTGGAGGATATTTAAAAAATAGCAATTGAGAGAAAAAACCCATTAAATGTCAATAGAGATGAATGTTGGCAGATGAGGGTAGAAATATAACCAGATTTAACTAAAACTGCATTGTCAAATGTGTTTGCAAAGATTGTTTGTCTCAAATCCTCTTCCACCAGCAAAAAATCTTTCAGTCAAATTGTAATATGTCTGTCAAGCAAAAAAAAAACTATTTCATTTTTTGCAAAAAACTGAAACCAAAATAAATATAAATATTACTAAAAATTTAACATGTTATTTAGAAGCATCAAATGCACATAAGCTTTAAGTTTAACAAAGGAGCTGACATTTAAAAAAATGGATGAAACAGACGTTCTAAGTCCCTCCAACGTCAGTTTAAAGCTATAAAGACATTCAATTTTTTGAACATTTTCGTCATTCAAAATAGAATCAGAAATTAAAAAATTTTGGATAAACATCAGGAGAGAGCATTAAGAGCTCTTCAAACATTCTGTCCAGAAAATAAAAGAGTTAATATTATTATTAGGAAACTAAGAAATGCTTCAAACCAAATCTGGGTCAATTGGAAAAGTGCATGAAGAATGACCACCAAACATTTCTCTAATAAGAAACTTTAATACTTGCAGAAGAAGTTAATCAAAATATACATATCAAAGTGAAACCTTAAGAAGCCCAAACATATAACAAAGGTAATCAGAATAGAAAAAACAGAAAGCGTTGTAAAAAATTTGTTTTACATAAACATTCAGACTTTCAAAGGCAACATATCAATAGTGCGATAGAATATGAACATTCTATTCTTTACACTTGGTTTAAGTTCACTAGTTAAAATATGGTAAGCACTGAAGTTAAGTTCAAATAGTAAATTGATTGCACATTGTACATCACACTAAATTAACTGAAAAGAGTTACAACATGAATCAAGTTTATAAAGTACACATCAATAATATAATAGTGTTAAATCTAGTAACTAACGTTTCAAATTAGAGATGATTTACAAATTTAAAATACCAAAATACTACCTCCTAGTCCTTCTTAGTCTCTTGAGCAATTTGTGCTCACAGGAAGTATGCACAGACCAACTGATGATATCTTAAAGTTTTTACTTCAGACGAATCATAAGTTATATTCTTCCATAACTAAGTTACATTTAAACATCATGAACAATTGCATATATAGACATATTAGAAAGCTAATATAAGCATAAAAATAGTTTATCAAAAATTTAACAATTATATTGTAATGACATGAGATTTTCACTTCTTACATTAGTATTATACATTAATTCAATACTCAATTTACAGAAACTTCTAGCATATTATCAACTAGAAGCATGGAACCCTGTACTTCGCCATAAAATGGAGATTAAGTAATCGATGTTCTGTTGATTAATGTTTTTAATGTTAGAGATTTCAACCTACAGAGAGCAAGGGTACTTTTGAGGAAGTGTTTGGTACTTAGAACTCGTGGAATTGAAAATTAAATTAGTTGTTTTGACCGTCTTAGTGAAGCTATTTCCCTTTTGGTACTTTTCGCCATCATGTTAGCATTCCAATATGAGTATCTATGCAGATGTTCATAATGTTTAAATGTATTTTATGTGTTATAAGAGAATGTAACTTTTGATTCGTCTGAAGCAAAAACTTTAGGATATTACCAGCTGACTTTTGCATACTTCCTGCGAGCACATTTTGCTCAAGAGACTAGCAATGACTGGGAGGTAGCATTTTTATATTTAAAATTCGTAAATCAGATCCAATAAGAAACGTCAATTACTATGTTTAATATTATATTGTATTATTGTTGTGTATTTTATGAGTTTGATTCATGTTGTAATCCTTTCAGTTAATTTAGTGTGATGTACAACGATAAATCAATTTACAATCTGAACTAGACTTTAATGTTTATCATACTTTGACTATCGAACTGAAACTAAGTGTAAAGAGTACAATATCTATATTGTGTCACACTCTTAATCTGCTGTTTTTGAAGACCTGAATGTTCAAGTAAAACATATTTCCTACAGAGCTTTCCAGTTTTTCTTTTTTAATTATCTTTGTTATATTCTAGGATTTCTTAAAGTTTCAGTTTGACATATATATTTTGATCAGTTTCTTCTGTAAGTACGAAAATTTCTCTTAAGAGAAATGCTTGGTTATGTCATTGACTGACAGAAAACAAGGTTATTCCTTATACACTTCTCCAATTGAGATAAATCTGGTTTTAAGGATTTCACAGCTTCTTGATAATAATATCAACTCTTTTATTTTCTGAATAGAATGTTTGAAGTGTTATCCATACTCTCTTGATGTTCATCCAAAATTTTTTAATTTCTGATATTATTTTAAATGAAGTCAATATTCAATAAATTAAAGATCTTTATAGCTGTAAATTGACGGTGGGGAGACTTAACAGGGTTGTGTCATCCCTTCTTTTAGATGTCACATCTTTTGCTAAACTTACCTCCTTTGCTAAACTTTAAGCTTATGTTATTTTATGATTCTGATAACATGTTGATATTTTTTAGTAATCTTTGTTCTTATTTTGGTTTCAAGTTTATGCAAAGAATGAAATGATCTTTTTGTTGGACATATATACTACAATTTGGCTGAAAGACTTTTTGCAGGTGGAAGAGTAGTTGGGGTAAACAATCTTTGCAAACACATTTGACAATGCAGTTTTAGTTAAATCTAGAAACATTTCTAACTCTGTCTGCCAGTTTTCACTACTATTGACATCTAGTGGATGTTTCCTATCACTTGTTTTTTTTTAATGTCCTCCAATGTATAACATGATTGTAGAAACATTTCTAACTCTGTCTGTCAGTTTTCACTACTATTGACATCTAGTAGATGTTTCCTATCACTTGTTTTTTTTAATGTCCTCCAATGTATAACATGATTGTTCTCTCTAGTTTAATATTGAACATTAAAAAAATAATAATATATTAGTAAATCTATCATCTTCAACAGAAAAAATTTTTGTAAGAGGGGCTTTCATATCCTAAAGTGGTTTTACATCTAAGATATAAAGTCTTACAGAAAAAGTTTAACGTATCCAAAAATGGACCCGTAGAACTTACATAATTTCCACCAGAAACTAATGGTGAATAGGATCATCTTTGCCTTGAGCTGCTTGGAACAACTATCAGCTCCTCGCCACATAGCCATCACTCTAGACCTGAAAATTATTATTGTTATTATAAGTATAAACTGAAATTTACCACCATAATTATTAGAGTGCTAACAACAACATCCATTACTTTTCATGACATCTTATTAATGCCACTAACAGGCTAAAGAAGATACAATTTGTAATTTCTTGTAAAATAATGAGTTTTTGAATGGGCAAAACAACAACAGCTTCTCTCACTTCAATTTTCTCAACACCAAATTATCTTGTATCATTTTCTCACTTACCTAATAAGCAAAAGCAAAAGATGATCATCATTTTCCCATTGCAATTTCTTACATGCACTAAAAAGATTATATAATGCTTCAAAAATAATTAAAAGAACATGAAATTGATTTGAATTATTCCCCTTTTAATTTCAACAATAAAGTTTACATCAATGAGCTAGAGAACAATAAAGTATTTAGATTCAACATAAGAAGTGAAATATAAAAAAATTATAACTTCTTTAACCAAAATCCATTGTTAATGTTAAAATGAGGAAATATAAGATGTGTTATTATTTTGAAGTTAAATAACAAATTGAATACATTCAAAAGATGAAAATATGAATTTCTTTTTGATAATTCCAACCTAAGGGTGTTGTATGGATATAACATATGAATTTCCTAACCAAGCCCTCAGCTTCTATACGAAGCATTATAGTCATGGAAATGATTAGAATAGCAAAACAAAAAGCACAATAACAACTAACTTTAACCTTAGTCATTTATTTATGTTTTCATATTCCTTAGATCCTAAATAATAGCATTAATACAATAAAACGTGGTTTAATAAGGCGGGCATATATTATCATAATAATACATTCTTGGGTGTTTGTACCAACTTATGAGTGGGTTTAAAGAAATTAAAATCTATGTTATGTTTGTTGGTAAAGCAAAAGAATTGAAACCCATGTACATATACAGAAATGACAGGATTATCTAACCTTGTGGATGATGACTGTGTGCAAACTCTCAGCTTGTAATGACACGGTTACATGCATGAAGATAAATAGTTATAACTACAATCATCTTGCATATCTCATACACAAACATGACTTATGAGGAAATGTGTGATTTTATTGTTGAAAATAGTATGGATGGTGGCTTATCCTGTTATTTCAATCCTCTTATGGTGTAAATGGGAGTATTTAGGTTTCGATAAGTTTTTCTTTTTATCCCCAATGAATTAGACATGAATGAATTCTAGGGTAGTCGACGAATTCATCTTTATTTTCAGATCAATATAAGCTATAGTCAAATTGCATAAATCTTTAAGATTTTCATGTCCAATCTCTATGGGTATTTATTGTCAATTTTCATTGAAATTAATCCAAATGGGCGTTTTTTGCATAAGCTAATAGTGTATTCTAACAATAAGGCTTGAAGAAACTTTTTGTTGTAACTAGTAATGATGTGTTGAAAGGATTTAACATTCACAAAATATAAGATTTAAAAAAAAAACTTAAAAGCTAATAGAAGGTTAGATCTTACGAGAACCAAAATTTCCAAATAAGATTTGTGTAGCCCTTCTAAGGAATTGCAAGGTGCATAAGAATGTAGTGCCCTATGATTTAAAAAAAAAGAATTTTGACTACTATTGTCAATTTGATTCGAACTAACATTAATTGGCTCGTTATTATAAAAAGAGATACTTTGCGGCGAATTGAACCGATGTAGCGAAGGAAACGAAGTGATCAATTTTCTTACGTAGCATCGAGATGGGGAGGGCAACTGCTAGAAAAGAGAGAGATGAGGTGGAGGGGGGAATTGAGCTAGGGTGAGAAGCACGTGCACTGCTGGAAATAGGGGAGTTGTGCTCGCAAACGCACTTACAATGAGAGAAAGAATGAATACCAGGCCGAATACAAGTGTAGAAACAACTTTTAAGGATCACACAGGCATAATAGTCGCGAAGTACATAAAACATTATCATATATGCCAAATACAAACCTGCTGCATATTATATACATCTTCAAGTGACAATTTTGAAACCATAAGAGCATAAACAACTTGTGTTGCATAAAAAAATACATCATGCACTCAATTAATAAAATACAATTGCAATACATGTTCATATTTTTTTTCCATAAAAGAAACCTTTCAATTATATGTCTATGTCATAACTAAACCGGAACCGGCTTTTATTCCACATGCGTATCTAGATCAAACGAAGCCTTCACAAATCTTTCGTATGGATTGTGTCATCTCCAACCATACCTGCTCTTCTAATCGTGAGAATAACTTGACTGTCCTCTCACCAACCAAGGTTGGGATTTAAAGGTCATAGGCTAAAGCATTATACTGTTCCTCATCTGAGCTACCAAAACCTTCTGATATTTCCCGTCCCTTCCTCTTTCATGCTTTAACATAGTAATGAAAAACGGATAAACATCTCCCTCGCCCCATTCCTCCTCCAATCGATAGCCACCACCTTCTTTTCACAACTTCTTCCTCAATTGATGAAGTTACAATATTCATATACAATGAAAGTTCACCAAAAAAGCTATAACAGAACGTTAAGGTCGTAGTCGATAGTTATGAAGATAGTAACGCACCATGAATGTTGTAGAGCAAACTTGTTGTAGAGGCTATAATTGAATGTCGTCGTAGTAGTTAAAATGTGCATGTATAAGTCATAGATAGTTGCTTCAAGAGCCTTAGTTGGAAATGAGATCGTAGTAAAGAGTTGTGGGAATCGTGGGTCATGTTGGTCGTAGTGATAAATTGTGATGACGTTCATAGGCAACGAAGGCTAGAGTTGGAAGTCACATAGGTTGGGACCACATAGGTTGTAGTTGGTAACTTAGGTCGAGATGATAAGTTGCAATGACGCTCGTAGGACACATGTGTCAGATCGGGAGCTGCACAAGCTATGATCTATATAGGACATAATTGATCACATAAATCATAATGATAAGTTGTGAAAACATTTGCAGCCTATATAGATCAGAGTCGGAAGCTCCACAAGTCATAATGGTTAGCTGTAATAACATCCATAAGCCACAGAGGTTGGGAGTTGTGTGAGCAGTGAGTCACTTATGTCATAGTTGGTCATGTAGGCTATATTGGTGAGTTGCGACGACATCCATTAGTCGTAAGGGTCAGAGCCAGGAGCAATAAGGGTTATAACCCATATAGCTCAAAGTTGGACACATAGGTCATCGTGGAGAGCTACATTGTACTTGGGGTGCATCGTAACAGCATCTTTGGGGTGCCTAACAACAACATCTTCGGGGTGACATCGTTAGACCTTCTTCAGGGTGCATCACTATATCGTTCGGTGCATCATTATCGAGCAATGTATGTCGAGATTCCACGGCTCGTGTCATGATTATGTAGGAAGTTTCATTGCAAAAAACAGGCAACGAGCGATGGTGATTGATGACAGTCGGGGAGTGGTGGTCAACGAAGATAAACAAGTAATGGTCGACGATTGTTTGTGCTTGTAGAAGCTAGAAGCTAGAAGCGTTCGTCAGAGCTTCTGCAAATAAATGCCACTAGCTTCAGCTTCTCTCGGTCCTTCTTCAACCCCAAGTCTCGGTCCATCTCCTATCTTAAAGAAAGGGCGGGGCTCTATTTAAAAAATATAGGAGAGAAATTCCTACAAAGAAAGAATGACTTCACACCACTCAATGAGATGCCCTGGAGAGGTTCCATTGATCAGGCAGTATTCAAAGCACATTTAAGTGCCTTAATGACGCTAACTTTGACCCAAATGTTCTTTCCACAATAACGCTAACTTTGACCAAAATAAGTAATAGAGAGAATATTTACAGAAGACATGAACAACAAAAAATACGATAAATATAACTGCATTAAGTGATTTCTTTTATGCAGTAACTCATTCATTTATTTTTGGAAAATTAAATATTAAATATAGAAATGAAATTAGAAAAAAAATTTATTAACATCGGTTGACCGTCTGTTCTAAACTTAAAAATTGTCAAACCTCGGGCTAGGCTGTGATAAAACAGGTCTTTAGAAATCAATGTAAATGATTTCATTCTATATTTGAGCTTTAAAACAGTGTGTAAAGCCATGCCACCTAAATTGATTCACAATTGAAAAAACTTGACTGCAACAAATGATAGTATATGATTTTATAAAGAATTAAAATAATGCAACCTATTGTACCCCTTCATGATATATTTGTGCACAAATGGCCTTTGACCACATAATTTGTCTATTTAAGATGAAGACAAAAAATTATAAAAGATCAAAAGGACGATATATGTCAAATATAGCTTTTTTAATCAAAACAAACTAAGTTTGTCTCCTACATGCTGCTTAAACTGTAACAGAATAAATGTGAAGAATAAGGGAATAAAAAAAATATGAACTACATAAACCTCGGCCTATCAACTTGTTCTATTCCGCCTATCATCTGGTTCTATAAACGAGCATGGCTTGAAAATTTCCAAAATAAACAAACATTTTAATCAAAGACAAGTTGGTGATTTATGATTTCTTATGCGCACAAAATTTCAATGCACAACCTAGTGTAGTTAATTACGCACCTTATAAGCCTTAAAATTGCAAGCCTTATCTCTAAGATAAGAAGATATCGTTAGTTCACAATTGAACCAATAGAAGCTTGATGAAATAATGCAGACCAATGGCTTAAAGAAAGCGATCCTTGTGAGCAAAGAGGTGGAGGAATGGATCCCTCTACAATTAAGAGTAAGATCAGCGCGATGTAATGAGCCGAGACACTTGTGCTAGAGAAAATAAATTTTTTGTTCTACATAATTTAGAAAAACCAAAAGTTGCAATCCTAAGGACAGATATAGGTCATTGGTTTCTGCTGAAGATTTTGTAAGTTATACAGGTCTCTTGCTGGACACGTTAAACTTTTCTGTAATATTATATCTTAGATGTAAAATATCTTTAGCATATGAAAGTCTCTGCTACACAAATTATCTATGTTAGAGATGACAGGTTTATCAATTTATTATTATTATTATTATTATTATTATTATTATTATTATTATTATTATTATTATT